AAACCAGATTAACTGAGAATATAACCAACCCCCCCTTTTTCTTTTTCTCTTCCCTCTCTTTGTAATCATTTACCAATCTGTTAATTGTATAGATGCTGATTCAGCATCCATACTATGTTTTCCTGGTCTTTCTTTCTTTCTTTATTATTATTCTTCCGTACATGTTATGGTTGTGTCCCCCTCACCAGGAGGGTGAGGGAGAACTGAGGTAGGACTCAATGTGCAAAACCCAGGTGCTAGTGAAAAAAGGTGGTTTAATGGAAAAAAACACAAACAAGGTAACAGAGTCAATGTATGTAGCATAATTAGGCTGGACCGTACAAAAACAGAATGCGACACAGCTGAGGCGCCGATCCCACAAAAAAGAGCGAGCAGGAGAAAGAAAGGCAGAAGAGAGGCAGGTCATTCAGCTCTTCAAGGACATTCATGCTTCTACTCAGAACTTTTGTAAACTTCATACTTTTGAAATATTTAGCTTTATTTTGAAAATCTTGCTCCATTTAAATGAATGGCAAAATTCTACTTCAGCATAATTTCAGCTATCAAAATGTTCAGCTCTTCAAGGACATTCATGCTTCTATTCAGAACTTTTTTTAAACTTTATACTTAATAATAATAATAATAACTTTATTTCTATAGCACTCAACAACTCGTTGGAGCCCAGAGTGCTGTACAATAGAACAAAACTACAAACAAGTAAAATCACTAAATCAAAATAAGTTTGCATATATAAAAAACAAATAAAAAAGAACCAGAGGAAATCCAGAGCAAATTTTAAAAAATAACATAAAACAATACATGTTAACATACCCGTAAAAGAAAAAAAGCCAATTTATGCCTCAAAAGCCTGCCTAAAGAAAAATGTTTTTTAGGCTGACTTAAAAACCACTAGTTCCAACTTCGATCACACCTCTAAGGGAAGGGAATTCCAAAGTCTGTGGCCATATGAAGCAAAGGTCACCCCATTTCTTACACCGCGATTGCGGGACAACCAAAGACAACTGTTCTGAAGAGCGCAAGGCTCTTTGTGGCATGTACATTGATAGCATGTCAGACAAATAAGGCGAAGCCAGGCCGTGGATGACCTTAAAAATGAATACCAGAGTCTTAAACTTAACTTTATACTCAATGGGAAGCCAATGAAGGGAGCGGAGAATTGGGGTAATGTGGGCAAACCTGGGTGCATTAACTAGAAGCCAGGCTGCTGAATTTTGAACTAATTGCAATTTCCGGAGCAAACACTGAGCCACCCCGTGTAAAACGCGGTGTGCACACGTGAGGTAATAAAAGCATGGATGGCTATCTCCAAGTCTGCATGTGATAAAAAAGGTTTCACCTTTGTTAGAACTCTTAAATGAAAGAAACAAGTCTTAACTACGGCCCTAATCTGCTTCTCAAAGTTAAAATTACAGTCCAGTATTATTCCGAGGTTTTTCACTAAATCAGAAAGTGGGAGGGCAAAGGCACCAAAACTGGTGGCATCTGCCTTTGGGTCAGGACTGATAAGAATATATTCAGTGATAGATGTAGCAATCCCAAGTGATAGCAACATCAGGAAGAAGGAACACGAGAAGCTCGAGAAATACCAAGGGCTGAAAGAAGAGCTAGAAAAGATGTGAAAGGTGAAGGCACAAGTGGTCCCTGTGGTAATAGGAACATTGG